GAAACAAAGTCTTTGTAAATAGGGAGGGATGGAGGGGCTGAAGACAGTGCAGGGGATTGGGGAAAAAATAAAAACCAAGAGTGATTATGTACAGGTGCATATTTCCAATGACGAATGTCATTATATTGTACACCTAAAATGTACCAATAAAATTAATTTTAAAAATAAGTTATTCAATTTTGCCTTCTCCTTACTATCCTCTCATCTCCAGCCACACCTAGATTTTCCCTTTTATTCTTGAGCCCAGGAACATTGTGCCTATCATGCATATGCCTAGATTTATCCAGTTTCTCAGATTAAATCCACTGTGAATTTCATTTTTGCTCAATCATTGTGATCTTTTATGGGTTTCTGTAGTTTGAATGTTGTGTGCCCCTCCCAGTAATTCATATGTTGAAACCCATAATGAGGTGGCACTGGGATGTGGGGCTTTGGGGTATGAAAGCAGAGCCCTCATGAATGGCATCAATGACCTTATATAATAGGCTGAAGGGGACTTTCTCACTCTTTCTACTAAGTGTGGACACAGAAAGAAGAAAAATCCATGGACTAGAAAGAACCCCTCATCTGACACCAAATTTGCTGTGACCTCGATCCTAAACTTCTAGCCTATAACTGTTTAAAAGAAATTTCTGTTGTTTATAAACCACCCAGTCTATGCTATTCTGCTACTGAAGCCTGAGCATACTGACATGGGTCTACTTCATAGGATTTGAAGACTCAACAAACAAATCAAATGAAAATTACATGCTGTCATTAATTCACAATGATTTTCTGTAAAAACCAAAATACAAATGATAAGTTTATTGACGTCTTTTTATTTTCCTTGAAACTGTCTTCTTAAAATATATATATATATAATACATTTAAAAATATATATATCCATACTCCATAGGAAGTTACATCAAAAGGCATTCATGGAAAATCAAATTAAATAACTCTGGGCAATGAAATATTTGAAGACATGACCAAAATTTTCTGAAACTTGACACAGAACTTCCCAGTGACAAAGTTCCTTATAAATAGTAATTTAAACCCACAAGAGCACTGGTAGGTATATATTTGGGGTAAAGATTTCTGATAGATGCATAGGCTATAAGTTTATAGGATTTTTAAAAATTACATTCTAAGTCTGCACAAGATTACACTCTTTGTGCAGCTAACAGGTACTTGCCTGCATAGGTAGCTATCCTTGCATTACATACAAATAGGCTTAGAGATAATTTAAGACCTCTAATCAGTGTATACTTCGAGAGACTTTGATCCCTAAGAAGGAAAATGGATGTCACCAATAAACTTGGTCCTGACTTGCATTAGTCATGGATTCAGAGAATTGTGGGCTCAGATTCCAGTAAATACCTGCAAAACAGGAGAAAAGCCATTCAACATTTCAACACTGGAAAAATTTGCGTGAGAAACTTTTTCATAAAGAGAAGATCAATCCCCCCTTCACTGACTGAAGACAAAATTAATTACCAGAGTTGGCAGCAGATAAATGATTCCAATGTACAGAATTGTGTAATTATAGCAGCTGCAGAGCTGGAAACCAGCTCCTAACTTTGAACCTCAACCCCAGCTTGACATTTCTCCCCATATTCAGTTCTTCCACTAGCAAGCATGTTGAAAGTTCCCTCATCTTACTCCATAATTACATGTTGGGGTGCAGAAATAATCATTGGCTCTACTGCCTGCATGAAACCTTATCATCCGCTAGTATGCAAAAGGTGTGCTGTATCATCTTTTGAAGTGTTGCCATATCTAGAGAGAAAACTTTATTAGGGAAAAGTGACTGTAATGGCAACAAAATTAATTCTGCTACATGTCAAATTAACCCCTCTCCTAAGGACTGAAGGCAGAGGCAAGTTCAGAAATGGACAAATATTTATTATCAATTTTTTAAAGTTCACTGCAGATTTCAGTAAAGCCAAAGCGAAGAAAATCACAATTCACTGTAACATTATGATATCTACTGCAGAATAACACTGGCTAGAAAACAAGAGGTTAAGAACTAAAGAAATACTTCAAGCAATTCTTTTTTCTTTCCCCTTTGCAAACAGCAAGGGAGGCTGTCAGTTGGGCTCTATGGAGATTTTGATTCTCTCTTTGAAGCCAAGAGAAAGGTTTTAATCTCATTTTTAATTTTAATCCTCTAAGATATGTAAGTGTTGTAGAAATGTACAAGTTAAATTGGCAGATTTTACTGGTGGAAGGAAAGCAATTTCTTTCAACTTTGCAACAATATGCCAGTTCAAAGCTGGCCACTTCAACTATCTGGATACCTCAGCCACAAGCTGCAATCTACTGATTTTAGAACTTCCTCCTATCAAAACATGCTCAGAAGAACAAAGTCAAGTCCATGGTTCAAACAATGCAAGTAACAAGGTATATTCAAAGAAATACATTCATGCTTGAAAATCTTTTCTACAAGTTGATTTGTTTTCCTGAAAGGAAGAAAAAAAATCAACTTCATAATTTTTAGGAAATTTTTTTCAACTCAACAAGAGTTTTGCCTGCTCTCAATCAAACATTGATAATGATTGTTTTTAAGGGTTTAAATCATTCATTCTTGATGCACAGTATACTCTTAGTAATCACATATGATTTATATCAATTAAGAAAAAGAACTCTTGTTCAGTAGTGTTATACTTGGGCTTGATAATGCTTTTCTACTTACTATTTACACACACACACACTCCCCTCCACATTTAACAGATGATAAGGGCCATGTTTATTATGCTCAAGAATTCTGTGGGTCAGAATTTCAGAAAGGATGCAGCTGGAATGACTTGCATCTGTCCATGATCTAGGTACCCAACTTGGGAGACTCAACACTACAGGTGTGTTAGTCAGATTTTCATCACTGTAATAAAATACTTGAGATAATCCTTTAAAAAGATAGAAAATTATGTTGTCTCACAGTTTTAGAGGTTCCAGTCCAGGATCCATTTGGTCCATTGCTTTCGGGCCCCAGGCAAGAAACTGTGTATTTTGACAGGAGCACAGGATAGAGCAAAACCACTCCCCTCATGACCAGGGAGCAAAGAAGAGGGAGGAGGGAGCCAGGATCCTAAAATTTCCTTCAAGGCTATGTCTCCAATCACTGAAAGACCACAAACTATGCCTCACCTTTTAAATGTTCTACCAAGTCCTTCCTAAGAGCACCTCTTTAAGGACCAATCGTTCTACACATGGAACTTTCGAGAGACACCTGAAATCCAAACCACAGCAATACACAACTGACTATCTGGAGACTAGAATCATATGGAGGCTCATTTACATGCATATCTGGTGGCTGGAACCTCAACTAGAAAAGTGGACCCAGAATCCCCCTGCATGTGGCCTTTCAGTTGACTTCTTGGGCTTCCTCCCAACATGGCAGTTGGATTTAAGTGGACATTTTAAGGCAGGAATGGAAATTGCTAGTATTTTAAGACCTGAATTCACAGAATGGCATGACTTCCACTACTGGTCAAGCAGCACAGAGGTCAACTCAAAGTGAAACATATATCTCTCAGCTGAAGGCAAGTCAAGAATTTGTGGGTTAGCATGGCATACTCAGGGCTTCACTAAAGACATAATTGTTGACATTTAGATCAGATTTCTTCTGCCAATTCCAATTAATTTTGTCTCGCCAATGTCTACTTAAGGTTTCATTGTCCAGAACATTCTGCTATGAGATATAATCAAATATGTGGTGAATGTTTAAATTTTTAAAACTTATTACAGTAAAAGATATATGGCCATTTATACCCTCAAAATATTACCTCTCTTTGAGCACACATATCTCAACATTCTTACAACTTTCTGACACAGTTTTACAAATACTCTTTCCTATATATCTTTATAAGGCATGATAAAAAATATGATTAATACTGCTGCTGAGTGCCACCCATCAGAAAGACAGGTTTGTTAAAAATAAAGGTGTGTCCTTGTCCACCTTATTCACCATATCTGGCACAGTGAAACTTTTGTCTTTTCCCTGGAGTCAAGACAACCACGAAAGGTAAACATTTTGAATTCAGGACATTGAGCCAGCCACTGCAGCACAGCTAAGCATATGAAAGAGGACTTCCAAAACTACTTCAGAAAGTGCCAAGAATGATAGCTACAGTAACTGTATTCCAAATAATAGGAAATATTTTGAGGGGGATTAACAGTGTATGTCTTTTACAGTAGTAATTTTTTTAGAAATTTAAACATTCACCATTGGTTCAATTACACTTCGTGTACTCTTACCTCCTGCCCTGTATTCCTCACCATCCTACTTCTTCATTATCCACTCAGTTCATAACCTGCCACCAATCCTCAACTCCTCTGACCTAGCCTAATGGATGCCAGTTGTTCAGCTTAAAGGTGGAGGTGCTGCTAAATGAGAGGAAGGAATATGGGGTACACTCAAGTGGAAGCCTGAAGGGGAACAGAAAATAAAAACTTTCCTCACCACTGAGATCCTACAAAACAAATCAATGCAAAGACTTCTGAAAAGAAACCAATACAAATTTATTGTATCATCTTCTGTTCATTAATTATAAACTTAAGTGCTAACTGGTCCAAATAAATTGCGACCAATTTTCATGTATTCAAAATAAACTTTTACAACAATCCTAAAGAAGTAGCCACTAAAGATCAAAATATGTGATTTTCAAACATTTTCAAGTGAAACTTTCCACAGCCCCAAATATTATAAAAAATTGCTTACTGCAAATAATATGTATTTTCTGAAATAAAATGTGAAACATTTGCTTACTGTGTTACAAATTAGTCAGATCAACCTTACTGATGATGTTTTTACTGTTTTTTATGAATGTTTTTCTTTGACTTGGGGGGTTAATTACTCTTATTGCATAATATCAACAAATGTTTGTAACCTTTGAAAAGTGTATACAGAATTTTTAAGCTGATTTACTCTGTGTTATGTAATATAATCTCCATTTAATACAGATCCTATAATCTAGATTTTAATTGCTTTTTCCATTCTTTCTTGGATTCCAGCCCAGTGTTACTTTTGAATCTAATAATGTACAAATGACTAAAGAAGCAGCTCAATTTTGCACAGACTTATTTTGAGACTACAGGCTGATAAAGGCTAAGACTTGGATTTAATGAGCTCTCAATAACATCTGAGATTTTATGATTACCTGTCTGTAAAGTTTGTAGTATACAGGTAAATGAATCATCCCATGAAGATCTGTTATAATTTTTAGAAAAGTAGAAGATGGGGAAATTGTTCTGCAGGGCAAATGAGCCAGATAAGACCCAAAAGTCCATAGCTATAGTGAGTTTCCTAAATTGTGAACATTTAACAAGCTCCTTAAAACACTGCAAATAAATATCAGTTTTAACCAGCACTTCTCAGAAATCTAGTGCCTTGAGAAATCGAGTTATTTCTGGATAGAAAGAGAAGCTTGGTGGCAGATAAGCTCAAGCTACTTAAAAGTTTCCATACTAATGCATCAGCAAATGTGAGATCCGGGGTATATGGCTGTTACCACAGTTTTAAAACTTCTGTAGAAACCAGAAGGAGATAGTTCTACAGGTAAATAAAACTATATTGATCTTAGAAATCAACCATGCCACAGAAACATGTTTGGAAAACCCTGGAGGTAGACAAATGCCAACATTAGGAATTAGACATGGCCTCTAAGCTTGAAAGCCTCTACTGGGTGAAGAATTATCCCACTTGCCTAGATAAAACCCATAGCATTTTGAATGATCCCCAAGATGTGTAGGTCAGGGACCTTATTCTGTTTTTGATCATTCCAGAAAAGGATGGACAGCATACAGGATCAGGAGACCACATGTTCGTATTAACAATTTCAAACACCATCATAAACAAGATTCAGCGTTGCATTCTGTTGTTGAAGGTAGATGCAGGAGAAAGGCAGAAAACATGGCAAATTTTCTGGAAGCTTTTCACTGGATTATTTCCTTAGTTTTGATGTAATGTCTCCACACCCTTCAGATATCTTTCTGAAGATCCCAAGACCCTTCAGGTGAGTCCTTCAGATCTATTCTTCTATTTATTAGTATTTAGTTGATCCCATTTACCCCATCGGGTTGGTTTTTTTTACCCCATTGTTTTTATGAGATGACTCAATTTTGTATCACTCATCTAGACATTTCCTATCTTCTCATTTTGCATAGCAGAAAACCTCTACTACATACTTAAGAGGCATCTTCAAATCAACACTGCCAGAAACACTGCAGTGGTGACTCCTTCTTCTGAGGTCAGAACCCCAAGAGATAAAATTCCATCAGGTGGGGATAAATAGGTTCCTCAGCTCCAAGTGAAGACCTCTAATCCAACATAATGTTTGAAGGCTGAGCCACAGACTTTCTTCTAGATATCAGTGCTCCTC